GAAATATTACTCTTTGTGTTGCAATCGAAACGTCGCGTTATATTATTTAACTTATTTTCTTTCTTCGTGACTTTACCGAAAGAAACGGGGAGTAGTTCCTGCAGTCACCAAAGCTTCAAATCAACCCCGAAATATTCTATTGGGTCTTTCGGTAAAGTCACGTCGATAGGTTGCAAAGAAAATTCACAAAACAAGCAAAAAAAACCTCCGACGTTTCGATCGCAACACCGGCCGCTATTTTGTGTTTGTTATTTTTTTTTTAAACCCTATCGACGTGACTTTTACCGAAAGACCCAATAGAATATGAATTCCTGCAGTCACGAAGGCTTTAAGTCAAGATTCACATCCCCGAAGCCCCATAGCCCAACCCCCCCCCCCCCCCATACAAGTTCGATTCTGGCTGTCGTCACATCTGGCACGATACGCCAAGTTCCAAACCTCTCGCTACCGCACTCACTGATTCACTCACCGCACTCACCGATTCACTCACCGCACTCACCGATTCACTCACCGCACTCACCGATTCACTCACCGCACTCACCGATTCACTCACCGCACTCACCGATTCACTCACCGCACTCACCGATTCACTCACCGCACTCACCGATTCACTCACCGCACTCACCGATTCACTCACCACACTCACCGATTCACTCACAGCAGGGCGCAATGTCGCCTCCTCCTCCTCCTTCTTCTATCGCTGCCCGTTACCACCACGCGGTGTTCAACCACGGCCGACCATGGCAGTGATGGCTTGGGAAGAGGCCCTGGTGGCTTAGGGGAGGCCTCTCATCATCTAGCAGTGGAAGTGACCGTGGCTGATGATGACGATGCCGCTGATGATAATAATAATAATAATTAAATAATATTTACATCGCGACCATCGTCAAAGTACTTTACCCCTTCCAACTCTAAGGCGCCTTGCAATAACCCCCCCGTGCCCCCCTCCTCCCAAACTCCCCCGCCCCCCTCCCCCCGTGCCCCCCCCTCCCCTCTCGACCTCCCCCGCCCCCCTCCCCCCCGTGCCCCCCTCCTCCCGACCCCTTGAGACATCACCGCACTCTGCCATTAATCGCCCGACCGCAAACCGCGCGGCTCTCGGAGGCACACAGCCTCGGCTTCATTTGCCACAAACATTCCACCTCCTCCTTCCTCCTTCCTCCTCCCTCCTCCTCCTCCTCATCATCATCATGCCGAGCTCCCAAAGCCGCAGTGCAGGAGACACGCGGCCCACACGAGGTGATGGGGAGCGAGGTGGGGGGGCATGGCCGGGGTTGTCTTGGAGAGGGCTGGGGGGGAAAGGCAAACAATTGGGATGATTTGTCAAAACGGATTCGTCATCGGCGCCAGGCAGACAGACAGCGCAGACGCGTCGGGACGGACAGACAGGCAAGGCACACACACACACACAGGTACATACTGACGGACAGGCAGGCAAGGCACACACACACACAGGTACATACAGACGGACAGGCAGGCAAGACACACACACACACAGGTACATACTGACGGACAGACAGGCAAGGCACACACACACACAGGTACATACAGACGGACAGACAGGCAAGACACACACACACACACAGGTACATACAGACGGACAGGCAGGCAAGACACACACACACACAGGTACATACAGACGGACAGACAGGCAAGGCACACACACAGGTGCATACAGACGGACAGGCAGGCAAGACACACACACACAGGTACATACAGACGGACAGACAGGCAAGACACACACACAGGTACATACTGACGGACAGACAGGCAACACACACAGGTACATACTGACAGACAGACAGACAAGACACACACACACACTCAGGTACATACAGACGGACAGACAGGCAAGGCACACACACACAGGTACATACGGACAGACAGACAGGCAACACACACACACACTCAGGTACATACTGAGGGACAGACAGGCAACACACACACACAGGTACATACAGACAGACAGACAAGACACACACACACACACAGGTACATACGGACAGACAGACAGGCAAGACACACACACACAGGTACATACGGACGGACAAAAATCCCCCGTGTCGCCTGTAACAGACTGTTGGAGCAAGTGCTGTTAGCGAGCACCTATGAAGGCCGGCACGGCACACGAGTGGGTGGGTGGCCAGCACCACGCCCGGCCGCCTTTGTCTCCCCAGTGGCGATGTTTACTACACATCACATCAGGTACTCATTTGAGGCCGAGTCGACCTAGGGGAGGCACAGGACCGGTTCAGATAATCGTCACCGGTGTTGGCCGTGAGCGGGAATCGAACTTGGGTCACCGGGGTTCGTTGCGCAGTGCAGCGCTAACCGCTACACCACCGCTCCCACACACACACACACACGGACAGACACAAACACACAGACACATACGAACGGACAAGGAAGGATAGGCGGACAGACGCAAAGACGGATGGGCGAACGGAGGGAGGGCCCATGGTGGAGACCACAGTATCAGAATCACAATATTTATTTGTGCTGCAGGAGGAATCTGATGGGCTATGAAGCTCTTTGTTTATATCACAGATGTCCAGGTGGAGCGTGTAAGAATGTTACAACATACAATTTAAAAACAACACGATAGGAGTGTAAAGTACAAGAACTTCAACACGTAGAAGGCGTTCGCGACCAATATCATTCATAATAGAGGGTTTTTTTTTGGGGGGGGGGGGGGTTAGATGGCGTAAATATATAAATGTGTCGTTAAATCCTCCACCACCCTACCCAGCCAACCAGTAAGGATTGTCACTTAAACAGAACGTGCCAGTCCGCCACTAGTGCAGCACACCGGTGTGTTGGAGAACTAATTGGCTGTGTCGGGTGGTGGCGGGTTCAACAACACATTTATATATTTACGCGATCTAACCCAAAAAAAAACCCCTTGTACAATGAAACTTCAAGAAAGGTAAACAAAACACCCAAAACACGTACAAATAAAACACTAAACCATCCACATCCTACCAGGCAAAGCCCACCGAGGCATCAACTTATTGTTCAAACGCGCGCCTGGCCCATCACAAATGATAGCTGAACAAGGCGTCCTCACCACACGGACATTCTATGGCAGCAAAGCAAACCCTAAGGGTCCAAACGCGCGTTTCTGAAAGTCGAACTGCACCAGCGGCCGGGCGCAAAGCGCGCTGAGTTGCAAGGAATTAAGAGAGAGAGCGAGAGAGAGAGGAGGGGGGCTGAAGGGCGACGCCGCCTCAAAGGCGTTGGGGGCCTTAGAGGGAACGGCTCAGAGGGCCCAGGTTCAAATCCCGGTCTCAGCCGCTCCCGTGAATCTCGACCCGGGTTCTCGAGTGCGGCGAATTAAAGTTCTTGGCCCGGTCACCCGTGACTGCCACACATTAAACACCCAACCAACACCGCCCCACCCCCCCCCCCCCCCCGAGTTAAATTTTGGGGTTTCACTTGAATTTGGACAAATTCCAGCGCACGAGAGCTAAACAAATTCGAGCTTGACTTGACTGCCACGGGTTGAGAGAGAGAGAGAGAGGGAAAGCACCGGAAGGTATCTCAGAAGTAGTTATGTGACAGCCGCTTCTGCGGGCTGCTCTCTAGCGCAGGGTGATTGATATATGATGCTCCTAGTTGGGGGGGGGGGGGGGGGTGGGCAATGTGGTAGCAGCAAACGGTAACGACTAAACAGTGCGGGTCGGGATGATCACAGTTTCTCAATGTCTTGCAAGGCGTTCGATTGAAATCACACACGGTCTGGCTGGCCGCTGTGTGTGTGTGTGGTGAGGGCTGGTATAATGTGTGTGTGTGTGGTGAGGGTTGTGAGATTGGGTGTGGTGAGGGTTGTGAGATTGGGTGCGTGTGTGGTGAGGGCTGGTAGAATGGGTGTGTGTGTGGTGAGGTTTGTGAGATTGGGTGTGTGTGTGGTGAGGTATGGGACATTGGGTGTGTGTGTGGTGAGGGTTGCGAGATTGGGTGTGGTTAGGGTTGTGAGATTGAGTGTGTTGTGTGGTTTGTTATATTGTGTGTGTGTGGTGAGATTTGTGAGATGTGTGGTGAAGTTTGTGAGATTTGGTGTGTTTGTGGTGAGGTTTGGGACATTGTGTGTGGTGAGGTTTGTGAGATTGTGCGTGGTGAAGTTTGTGAGATTTGGTGTGTTTGTGGTGAGGTTTGTGAGATTGTGTGTGGTGAGGTTTGTGAGATTGTGTGTGGTGAGGTTTGTGAGATTGTGTGTGGTGAGGTTTGTGAGATTGGATGAGTGTGTGGTGAGGTTTGTGAGATTGTGTGTGTGTGGTGAGTTTTGTGAGATTGTGTGTGTGTGGTGAGGTTTGTGAGATTCTGTGTGGTGAGGTTTGGGACATTGGGTGTGTGTGTGTGTGGTGAGGTTTGTGAGATTGGATGAGTGTGTGGTGAAGTTTGTGAGATTGTGTGTGTGTGTGGTGAGGTTTGTGAGATTGTGTCTGTGTGGTGAGGTTTGTGAGATTGTGTGTGTGTGTGTGGTGAAGTTTGTAAGATTGTGTGTGTGTGGTGAGGTTTGTGAGATTGTGTCTGTGTGGTGAGGTTTGTGAGATTGTGTGTGTGTGTGTGGTGAAGTTTGTGAGATTGTGTGTGTGGTGAAGTTTGTGAGATTGTGTGTGGTGAGGTTTGTGAGATTGTGTCTGTGTGGTGAGGTTTGTGAGATTGTGTGTGTGTGTGTGGTGAGGTTTGTGAGATTGTGTGAGTGTGTGGTGAGGTTTGTGAGATTGTGTGTGTGTGTGGTGAGGTTTGTGAGATTGTGTCTGTGTGGTGAGGTTTGTGAGATTGTGTGTGTGTGTGTGGTGAAGTTTGTGAGATTGTGTGTGTGTGTGGTGAGGTTTGTGAGATTGTGTGAGTGTGTGTGTGTGTTGAGGTTTTGGACATTGGATGTGTGTGTGTGCGCGTGTGCGCGCGCGCCACGTGCCGCCACTCGCGAACAGCACTTGCCCCGCCCAACAGCGTGTCCACGGCTCATGCGGGGCTCAATGTTTGTTGGCACTCAGACGAGACGAAGCCCACTAAGCAGAGACGGGCCAGGGCGAACTACAGCAGCTGGCAGCTGGAGGAGCTCGAGCGAGCTTTCGCCAGCACGCACTACCCGGACATCTTCATGCGCGAGGCCCTGGCGCTCCGTCTCGACCTCATCGAGGCCAGAGTGCAGGTGAGGAGACGGAGAGATCGTGGGGGACGAGAGAGGGGTGGTGGTGGGGGGGGGGGGGGTAGTGGGGGGGTGGAGGGGGTGGTGGTCAGGGGGTGGTGGTGGGGTTGGGGGTGCTGGGGGTGATAGGAGTGGTGGGGGGGGGAGGGTTGGTGGGGTGGGGTCTTGACAGCCACCCACCCCGTTCGTGTTGCCGTTCGGACCTTAATGGGTTGCTACTGGCTAAGAGCGAACGGCACTTGCCCCAACCGTTCTGTTGAGGTTACATGGGGGTTCTTTGTCTGTTGGTGGTGGTCGCCACAAGGCGGCCCTGATTCGGTAAAAAAAAAAGAGAACACCCGATAAGAATATATAATTGAGGTGCAGCAAGTAGGTTGTCGGGGCCTATCTGCAAGACTGCACAGGGCGCACTCGTTTTGCTTAGAGCACTCACGTGACTCGCGCTCATCACCATCGTCATCACCACCACCATCCTCCTCCTCCTCGTCATCACCACGATCATCATTACCGCCACCATCATAATCTCCATCATAATCATTCCCGCCACAACCATCACGGTAATCACCACCACCACCACCGTCACCACCTTTCACCGTCATTATTATTGTCACCACCACCGCTATCACTGTCATGGTTATCATTACTACCAATGCCATCATCATCATCGCTACAACCATCGTCGTGACCATCATTTGTCAACATCACCACCACTGCCAACATCATTTTGCCGTCATCATCATTATCATCATCATCATCACCACCACCACAATCATCATGATCATTATTATCATAATCAATATCACAACCACCACTACCACCTCCACCGTCATCATGATCACCATCATCATCACCACCACCACAATCATCATCATCATCAACATAATCATGATTATTATTGTCACATCATCACAACCACCGCTAACGTCACCACCATCACCGCCACCACCATAACCGACACCACCACCATCACCGCCACCACCACCACCATCGTCTTCTTCCAGGTTTGGTTTCAGAACAGAAGGGCCAAGATGCGACGCCAGATGAAGATGGCTGGGAAGGCAAGCGACTCTGCTACCGGGGCTGGAGGAGGAGGAGGGAGTGATGGTGGTGGTGATGGTGGTGATGATGATGATGGTGGACGAGGTGATGATGAAGACCTAGACGGAGGAGGACTTGAAGATGAAGGAGGAGGAAACGGTAGTTTCCGAGTCAGTGCCTCCAGCCACGACGGTGATGGTGTTGATGATGGCGATGCCGGAGATGTTGATGATGATGATGATAGTGGTGGTGGGGGTGATGATGACGATGATGGTGGTGGTGGTGGTGGTGGCGGTGATGATCATGACCTCTCCGAGTCGGCTCGAGGGGACTCGGGAGAATCGAGTCACGAAGGCAGCGACTCGTCATCTCCATCAGCCTCCGTGCGCATCCAACATCACCAGAAACATCATCATCATCAGCAGCAGCGGAATCAGCATCAGCACAATCATCATCATCAACAGCAGGCGCCGACGATCAGAGAACAGATGCAGTCCAAGTACGTGTGGCTGGGGATGAGGCCACGTGTCCACTCGCCTCCCGCGACCCCGCCCGCACGAGCCCCGAGCCTGACCCCGACGGCTCCAGCGGCTCCCCTCGCTCTGGCCCCTTCCTCGGCGCTGACTCCTTCGGCTTCCTCGGCGATGTCCACGGTGCCGGGGCCGGGGCCCGGTTCGGTGGAGGAGCGCCGCTCGTGCAGCATCGCGATCCTCCGCGCCAAGGCGAGGGAGCACGCGGCCGGGATTCAGCACGCGGCGGCCGCGCTCACGAGCGCCACGCGACTCGCTTGAGCCACAAGCATCCTCGTCCTCCTCCTCGTCCTCCTCCTCGTCCTCCTCCTCGTCCTCCTTCTCGTCCTCCGCGTCCTCCTCCTCGTCGTCGCCGTCGTTGTCTTCCTCATCAGCAGCATCGTTCTTCGTCGTCGTCTTCATCAGCATCGTCATCAGCATCGTCATCGGCATCATCGTCGTGCTCATCGTCGTCACAATCGTCGTCTTCATCATCGTCGCCGCGACCACACCTCTATACCTCGTCTACCCAACAACATCGCCGCCGCTGGTGCAACTCACGAATCGAGTTGCGTCGACTCGAAGCAACGCGCCATCGAGCCTCTCTGCGCTGTGTACGCGCACGCACGCACGTGTCACGTGTGTCGTGTCTCGTGTCACGTGTGTCGTGTGTCACGTGTGGCGTGTGTCGTGTCTCGTGTGACGTGTGTGTCGTGTCACGTGTGACGTGTGTTGTGTGTCGTGTGGCGTGTGTCACGTGTGACGTGTGGCGTGTCACGTGTGTGGTGTGTCACGTGTGTCACGTGTGGCGTGTCACGTGTGTCACGTGTGTCGAACTTCTCTCGCACCGCACGTAGCCCTGCCGCGCCGATCGTAGGTGCGGAAATCGTGAGTGGCGCGAGACGGACACCGCACGCGGCGTCCCGCGGCGTGAACCAAAACAACAAATCCCCAACGGGGGGGGGGGAGGGGGTGGGGGGCTCGGGTCCACGTGATGGTGTCCGAGTCTCGACGCGACGTCGACTCGAGCGGCGTGCGGCGGTGACCCCCACTCTCGACTCCGCGTCCCATTGCCGATCGCCACGAACGCGGAGTCGTTGAGTCGTCGTCGACGCGCGCAGGACAACGAAGCGTCGGGGGCGGGGGGGGTGGGGGTGGGGGCCACGCAACGTGGACACAACGCGGCGTCGGGGTCACGGCAACGTCGAGGCGACGTAGCGTCGAGTCTCGCAACGTGGACACAACCGCGTCCGTCCTCCTCCTCCTGACGTCCTCCCTCACCTGGCTCCACCCGGGAATCTTCCTCCGCGCCCCTCGCTCTGCCTCCTCCTCCTGCTGCTGCTGCTGCCCCCCCGCCCCCCGCCCCCACCTCGTCGATCACCGCCGCTGTTGGCCACAGCCCACGGACGTCGAAGTCACCCCCGGCGCGAGCTGCCAGGCGGGGTGCACCGAGGCCGTCACGCGCAGCGTGCGAGAGGAGAACGAGAAGCGAGGACGAGAAGAGAGAGGAGGAGGAGGAGGACTCTCGCTGCTGGCAGGAGGAGGTCAACGGAGGCTGCGGTGTTGGTGGGGGGGGGGAGGGCGGCGGCGTTCACCGACCGAGGTGGCCGGCAAGATGCTCGCCGCGCCCTACGCCTGTACGTGCACTGACGAGAGGTGGCCTGCACTGACTGTTGGGGCGAGTGCTGTTAGCGAGCGCCTACGAAGGCCGGCACGGCACACGAGGTTGGGCGGGGGTGGGGGGGGGTGAGAGGTCAGCGCCACGCCCGGCCGCCGAATTTGTTTGGGTACTCCGGGTACTCGTTTAAGGCTGAGCCGACCTAGGGGAGAACCGGCAACCGGTTCTTCTAATGGTTACGAAGCAGCCGATGTAAGCCGTGGCCGGGATTCAAACTCGGAGCGCGCGCGGGGTTCGTAGCGCAGCGCGCTAACCACCGCGCCACCGCTCCAAAGACACGCAACAAAGGCAAAGACCCCCCCCCCCCGCCCCGGATAGCCTGAGCAGGCTGTTGGGGCAAGTGCTGTTAGCGAGCAGCACCTATGAAGGTCGGAACGGAAACACGAGGAAGTGCGTGGACAGCATCCACGCCCGGCCGCCTTTGTCTCCCTCGTGACGATGTTTACACACAAAGACAAAAATCCCCGCACATATAGCCTTAACGGAATGTTGGGGTAAGTGCGGTTAGCACATTCAGACACACACACAGACACACACTCAGACACACACACAGACACATTCAGACACACACACAGACACACATTCAGACACACTCAGAAACACACAAAAACACACGCAGATACACATACAGATACACACAGACACACACACACACAAATAAACACACAGACATACACACAGACACACACACAGACACACACACAGACACACTCAGACACACTCAGACACACTCCGACACACACACAGACACACTCAGGCACACTCAGACACACACACACAGACACACACACACAGATACACACAGATACACACAGACACACAGATACACACAGCAACACACACAGATATACACACAGACACACACAGACACACAGACACACACACAGACACACACACAGACACACACAGACACACACACAGACACACTCACAGACACACTCAAACACACACATAGACACACACAGACACACACAGACACACACACAGACACACTCACAGACACACTCAAAACACACAAAGACACACACAGACACACACAGACACACACACAGACACACACAGACACACACACAGACACACTCACAGACACACTCAAACACACACATAGACACACTTAGACACAGACACACTCAGACAACAACAACCGCCATTCGCCACTAAGTGGCGGTGACGTCACCACGACGCTTGTGCCAGGCTATGTGCACCCTGAGGCCACGTGAAGTGTCGAACGCCCGCTGGCAGGAGGTCACGGGGCAGACCCAGGTGCCACGGGTCGACTGACTGAGATGACTGGTCGATGCACCACCTGTGCCCCCTACTGTGCCAACTTGCTGTGTTTTAGTCACCCGGCGCTCCGCTCGTTGTTGTGAGCGTCGCTCCTCTGCCCTCCGTTGTTGTTGGAGGGCGACTACCTCCAACTGCCCAATAGCGTCCTTCACGAGCCTCCTCCACAGAGGCCGATCTTAACACCGCTGGTACCAGTCATCGGCAAATCCACTCAGCTCCACGTCCTGCTGTACCACACCACTCCATCTCTTCTCTAGCCCGTGCCGCGCCCGTTTAGCCCCCTCGATCCGGCCAAACAAAAGCTGTTTCGGCATGCGGTAGCTGGGCATGCGGGCTACATGACCCAGCCAACGCAGCCTTGCCTGCAGGAGGAGCTCACCGATGGGACCTTGCCCAGATCTTTCAAAGATTTGTGAGCTCCTCACACAATCCAGCCTGGTTAAACCCAGGATGGATCGTAGGCAGGCTAGCCTATATGTTTCTAACCGGCGAAGATGTTCCATTAGGGGGGTCCACGTTTCGCAAGCATAGAGAAGGGAGGAAATGACCGTGGCCGAGAAGACCTGAAGCTTAGTGCGGAGCGACAGACCAGGTAGCTTCCACACAGCGTTACGCAACCGATGAAAAGATATTGCCGCTCGACTGATTCGGAGTGAGACCTCTGCTGTTAAATTGGAGCCGGTCATAAGCACACTGCCCAGGTATGGGAAACTCTCCACTCTCTCCACAACTGCCCTATCACCGATTGGAAGTTGTGGGGGTGGAGTGTCCGATGGTACAAAATACCCAGGCGGGTGCTTAGTTTTGGTGGGGCTGATGGTAAGGCCCCATCTCTTAGTGGCACACTCCAGTCTCAGCAGCAGCGTCTCCAACTCCTCCTCTGAATGAGCAGCTATTACTAAATCATAGGCATACATAACGTGGTTGAGCAATAGGGAGCCATCCCCCTTGACCGCACCCGGGCATCGATCAGCCTCCCATTATATCTGTACCAAATGGAGATTCCCCCGGTACAGCTATTGAAGGATTCACGAACTACGTGGTCAAAATAGATGTTAAATAATGTGGGAGCAAGAGGACATCCCTGTTGCACACCAAGGTGTACAAGGAATGGCTCTGACTCCAGGCCACGTAGTTTTATCCGGGCCCACTCACCATCATGAAGGTCCTTAATGATCGTGAGCAGAGGGTCAGGGACTCCAAAAGCACGAAGAACAACCCGGAGCCCAGGCCTACTGATGGTATCATAGGCCTTGACCAGGTCAATAAAGCAGAGATGTAGGTCTTGTTGGAATTCCCGACACCTCTGCTGTAGCAGACGGACAGACTATATGGCATCTGTGCAGGACCGCCCTTTCCTGAAACCGCATTGGGGCTCCGCAAGCCTCTCCTCAGTGTGCCTGGCAAGGCGATGTTGAATAATCCTTGCCAGGACCTTTCCCGGCACACTGAGGAGTGAGATGTCCCTGTAGTTATTACAGTCTGTGAGGTCCCCCTTCTTAAAGAGGGGGACCACCAGGACATCCTTCCAATCCTGCGGAACCCGTCCAGTGGTCCAGACTGTTGTTATGATGTCATATAGGGTAGTCTGTGCACACACGCCATCCTCCCTCAGCATTTCGCTTGGGAGATCATCTCTACCTGGTGCCTTTCCTGGTCTTAGACTCCGGATCGCCTTCAGTACTTCCTCAACAGATGGCACCTCAGCCAGCCACTCACAGGGGGTGACTTCTTCCAATATTTGAGGCACTGCAGCCTCAGAAGGGTCATCCTCACTTTGTGCCACGATGTTTTCCTGGCTGAGGGATTTCCCCTCCCCCAGGACCTCACAGAAATGCTCAGCAAATCTGCAAACCTGTTCCTGGGGGTCGGAGATTGGATCACTGTTTTTTCCCATAATTATAGTAATAGGTGTGGCGTTGCAGGTTACTTTTTTGATGGAGTTAAATAGAGATTTGTGATCGCGGGCCACTGAGGCAGACTCCATCTCCTCAGCAACCTGCGACCACCACCCACCCTTGCAGCGCCTCACGGCTCTCCGAACCTCCGAGCGAAGGCTGCGGTAAGCCTCCTCATTCTCTGACGTGGGATTCTGTAGCCGATGACAGTGGGCCTGTCGCTTTTTCTCAACCATCCTGAACACCTCCTCTATCAGCCAGGGTCTCTGGGGAGGTCTGAACCGTGTACCCAAAGCAGCCAATGCAGCTGCATGAGTCACAGTCCTAAACCTCGCCCATTTACTCTCGACATCAGGAGGAGTGGGGGACGATGCCAACCCCAGCCGCAAGCAATGATGAAATTCTCGCTTGCAACTTTCATCAGATAACTGAGACCAGGCCACTTTAGGTTGGAATGGGGTCCTGGGTGTACACCCACCACCGGAGTGGAAGAATGGCAG